GCATACATATTCCCTCCGCTCCAAATTATAAGTCGCTTTGATTTTTTTTTATATCCATTTTGCTATGCATCTAATACCTGTTCGTTTCGCTGAAATTTGGCTTATGCTGATGTTTATGTTGATTTGTTGTGAGAGAAAAACACTATTCGTTCACTAAAAAGTACTGCTGAAATAGTACTGCAGAATATGGCGAATATATGTCTAGATATATAACAAATTCTATGTACCAAAAAAGTCAAAGAGACTTGTAATTTGAAACGGATGGAGTACACTTAGCTAATAATGAGCTAACAATTAGCAAAGAGTTTTCCTAAACTTTAGCCTACCTATTATTAACCTTTCTATTTAAATCACTTAATTAGAGCTAATATAATGACTAGTCTTTTAGAATCACAATACAGACACAAACTCACATACATGTATGTATAGTCACTCAGATGAACGCATGCACATACACCCTGGCCCTATGAACAAGTCAAGGACTTAAACCTAGATGAACAAGTTCCACCATAAGAAATATAGCCAGCTAATAAGCTACTTTTGGTTAACAATTAGCCTCTAGTATCAAAGAGGACCTAAAGCGCAAGCTTAGGTCATGTCTTATGAACTGGTTAGATCAGAACACGTGGCACGGTATGGTATAGTTTCGATGACATATAAACACCTTGGTCTACAATGATAATTAGTACATCTTACAAAAGTCTATCGTTCTTTTGATGAGATGTGACTTATGCAACTTTGTATACATTGTGAGTTGCAATTATTCTCTTTTCATTTAAATCACCAAAAGGTCAACCTCCGGGGGAGCTACGGATAGAATTAAGTCCTGAAAAGACTATCTAAAAATTGTTTCACATTCCTAGCAAATAAACAATAAGCTTCTGGTACAAAAAAATATTGATATATAATTGTTGCTGTTGGAACCAATTTATGGTTTTTATTTTTCAAACTTAACTTTCCCATATACACATCTTATGTTATTTCATAAGAATTTAAAATATCATTACTTGTGTTATTCATGCAATAATATAGAGTATGAAAACTCATCTTATCATGCAATAATATTTCTCTCGGATTCACATTGAGAAAAAGTTTATAGTGGAAAAATACTTGCTTCGAGGTGCAGATTTAGTCAACGTGCAATGCAAGGTTAGCTAGGTCTCCATCGAGGACGCATCATTGTCTATAAACAATATAATTATTAGGCCTCCTTTGGATCAAAGGAACTTCAAAGGAAAAGTAGAGGATACTCATTCCTATGGATTTGAGCACTATAGCATCATTTGGAATACATGATTGAGGCATAGGAGAAGTAAAGGATTTTTTTTCCTATGCTGTTGGTTTCACAGGGAAAACAAAGGATTCGTAACATCAGCTCTGAGCTTTTTTTCATTCCTTCGCGTAGGATCGAGGCAAAGCCTGGCTTCACGAGGATAGACTAAGGCTAATGTACAGTCATTTGTGCAGAACGTTGATGATTACCATTCATGATCATCTTTTAATACAAATCTCTCCTATGTTTCCTGTGTTTTTCCTAGGGCTCATCCAAATGACTTTTCCTATTCAATTTCTGTGTTTTGAATTCTTTGTTTTACGCATGCATTCCTATACTATTTTTCTGTTTTTTCTATTCCTATATTTTTTCAATCATGCATTCCAAAGGAGCCCTTAATGTGTTGACTGCAGCACAATTTCTTGCGGAGCTCTTGTTTCTGACGAATCTAACTGAAGAGGTTCTCGTTCCTCTGTATGCATGGTTGCCGGATGAGTGCAATTAACGTGGCCTCTCCATTGCTAATTTTTTTGCCATATTTTATTCCATTCGACCTGCTAGATCGACTTAAAATGCATGCATATATATCCATCAAACCGTCATGGATAATATATGTGTGTGGTATTTCTTTGGCATTGTTGTCTGCATAAATATTTATAATAATATCTATCTGTATATATCCACGTTCGGTTTTCGATCCAGCAAAGGCAGCAAGTAAAGTCTACGTACGGGACATATCCGTATATATGCATTACAAAATTGTTAATTATGGTGGCTTCTCCTGCTCCAGGAAGAAACGTACGGGGGCGACTGCTTCAGATCGATTATACATTAGAGAGAAAAAATAATGTCAACAGCGTCCTCATGCATGCATGGATGACTTCTCCACATGTTTTTATATTTAGCAGGTGGCGGAAAATACGCAAGCATGCATAGCATTATATATATTGAGCGCTTGTTTAGTTTTACCCAAAATCTCAAAAAGTGCTACAGTACCTATCACATCGAATGTTTATGGTCCGTGTATGTAGCATTAAATGTAGACGAAATTTTTTTTTGCATAGTTTGGTGGGAAATTACGAAACGAACGTTTTGAGCCTAATTAGTCTATATTTGAACACTAATTGCCAAATAAAAACAAAGGTACTACAGTAGATCCAAATTCCAACTTCCTGGAACTATACAAGGGCTGATCTATACTATTTTATACAGGCATCAATCGAGTCAAACTCTAACTGTTTTCTTCTGACCTGTACTTTGTTTTTGTTGGACTTTTGTGATTGGTTAAATGCATGGGGCAAGGTCAACTCGATCCCGTGAAGCATCTGTGGCGCCCTGTTGAAGTGTTGGGTGATGTGATAGAATGACAATCGGCGCCTTTTCCCTTAGCATCCTTTTGGCTTAACTTATCGGCCCAATTTATCAGTTATGATATAGTGTTTTTTTCTCACAACAAAACAGCACAGCCGTAAAAACCATCAACCGAACAGTCATTCGAGAAAGTCAAAACCTTGACTACATATATATGCAATGAATCTCCTCATAGTTGAAAAACGAAAAATCTGACCAGCCTTTTCATACATACTAGGTGGTGCCCCGCGTATCGCTGCGGGTAGGGTGGACAATGATGATTTGTTGCTATACTGAATCAGGCGTGTATAGTATACAGAAGAAACTCTGTGGTTAAGGTAAATGGTGGTAATTAAAAAGCGAAAAATGCAAAAGCATAACAGAGACAATGTACAACAATTTACGCTGATATGCTAGTATGTGGATGAGGAAATGAAGATGCAGGAACACATATGAGTGCCATATAAACTTGAATCAATTTCTCAAAAAAAGTTGCACCCTGTTCGTTTCATCGTTTCTGTGGCTTATAAGCCGGCTGACGCTGTTTTGTTGTGAGAAAAACACTGTATAATGGCTGATAAGCATGGCTAATACGATCAAGCGAACAGTGTGAATAGTCAATTACAATAAGTATTGCTCGCCATGGTTAGTATGCTGACAATAAAAATCAAGATGCAGGTCTAAACCACAAATTTAGAGCAGGGTACATCATCATGTTGCAGGAAGTATGGTCTGTAGCTAAACATGGCAGCTTCTTGGCACTGGAGCATCTATGAGGAAATCGATTATGGTGTCCATCTACAAACATTAAGGGAAAATGTGAGAAAAGAATGTGGATTGCTCATGCCTCAAATAACAGACGCATCATCGATTAGCAGGATGACAACAGACATATGGTATTATTAAGTTTAAGCTAAGATGTTAATAAAATGGTTACGTGTGTCAGGATTACCTTGAACATGTTTGTTTGAAGATACTATTGGTGTGCCAAATCAGTGAAGACTGAAGATTTCCTAGGTGAGTGTTGTCTGTTTGTTTGGGAGGGTTATTCTCGATTAAAACGCGCAGACCATCAGGTGATGGGTCTTGATAAAGGCACATATAGCTGCATTTAGAATAGATTTGAGAAGAGCCACCATTGAGAATCTTTGCATGCCTCAGGTTTGCATTTCCATGGCCCATGAACTGTTAGAACATCATGGTCAGTGCCAAGGGGATATAAAATCAAAGCAAGAGAGCACAAATAAATATGAAAAGGGAAAGGATGTTGTGGTAATAAACTTACGTTTATGGGCACTAGATTAAGGCAGACCTTCAGCAAGAACTATAAGCAGCTGTACATGTGTATGGACAACGAACCTTCCTGTGAGCTGAGCAACATATCAGCCTTATGTTTCGTGCAGGTCTCAGGAGCAGCGACAGTATTGGGGCATGGTAGCTCTGATTAAGAAAAGAAATAGTAAGGCACAGAGCACAATGCAATACGAAAGAGATGGAAGGAAATGAAACAGGCTATCCTCTTTTTAATAAGAAATAGGGACATTATGGGTTTGGCAACACATATATCAGGGATAGTATTTTTTACGAATTCAAAACACATGACAAGAAGCAGGTAGCATGTTTAAGAATTGTAAACATACGACAGGAATGAAGTCAGTGAAATATAATTGGACAGGCTGAACAATTTTTTTTTAGAATAGTAAATATATGACAGGAAGCAGGTCAGTGAAACATAAGAGGACAGATGTAAGTGGAACAAAAGATTTAAATAGTTAAGTGGTAACACAAAACGTCTAGACGGAACATGAAAACTTGCAGGGAAGTCATCAGCAATAGCCATGTTCATTCCATCAGCTGGCACATGAATTGCATCAGCAACTGTACTCTCTACAGTCTTTACAGGTGCAGGCAAACATTAGATCTAAGATCAAGGAACTCCATAGGCCAACCAGAAGGACCACATCGATAGAAGTACACATTCTGCTATTTAGCATCTACGTCATGGCCAAAACGTTCATGGTAGATATTAACAGAGACATGGCAAAACTGAATTCGAATTTTAGCTCTGAAGGAAATCAATGATTAGACAACATCAGTTATGCTTAATCAATTTGTCAGGTGATAATTTTTTTCAATAAGAAATTTGTAATATTCTTTCATAAAAGTGTGGCAATCTTGCAAAAACTATCAACAAAGTGATCAAAGCAGGGTGGACTACTGAACATCTGATTCTACCGTTATAGAAATGAAATAAGATCATAACAGCATAGTGCTACAATGAGGTGACTGAAATCAGAATTAAGTATTCAGACATTTGGTAATAGAAGCTATGGAACTCATCGATTGTACCTATTCGTCATAAGGCCCATGCATGTCCTTAAGGTCCACTTTCCGAATTGATCTGAGAACCTTCACCTGCATAAGTGGAAGTTCTTATGATCATGTATCAAAGCCAGCAGCTTCTAACTTCTATCTAGCACAGCAGTGTCGATTTCGTATGTTAAAAGGATTATACCACCTTACCTTTTCTTCTCGGATATCCTGTCCATCAAGACTTACAGGTGGTTCCATGGGAAATAAAGGTATTGTTTGAAGAATGCGACTGACTATGAACTATGTCACGGATTGTCCCATAATTTCCAAAGTACCTGCAAGGGCATATGTTTCTGAACTAAATGATCCAAAATTAGAATGCCAAAACATGAATAGATTTTGAATAAAGAAAACCAAGATAAGATAATTTCAAAGGCTAAACAGAAGAGACTACTGTGAAGTTCAAACAAACCCATTATATGACCGTACAATTTCCTAGTGATTCATTCCATTAGGTGAAAAATAATCTCGCCATGCACATAATTTCAATCAATCATGTTTACCTGTCCAAAACAATACATGGAGGAAGATAGAAGAGTTGCTCCATGCTTATAAGAAGCCGCCTACAATCCCTGAATATTTTCCCAGCATATCCATAGGTAGAAGGTGCTCTGTAAAATAATTCCCCGAGTAATTAGAGCTTACATTGGTAAAACTATACACCTTGGAGTTGGTACCTTTGCAGTTGAAATGCGGGTTAGCAAAACCATAGGTGCTGACCGCATCTCACAGGGGCATTCCATCAAGCACATGGTATGCAACTCCTCTGGAGTCATTGACATCTAGCTGCAAATACAACAGAACAAAGGAATTGCACAGGTCGGTCAAAGAACAGCAAATCCGAATAAAAAATCAGAACCTAGCACAGCATATATGTGGGTGAACCATGGCACAGACCGAGAGCGTAGGCTACCTTTTTCTGAGATGTGGGTGAGCGCAAAAGCAGGAGCCGCATGACTGCCGGTGGGTGGCTGCAAGGTGGGAAGCACACCAGGATGAGTGCAACAGGGGAGAGGAAGACAGAACAGCTACACGCACCAGTGGAGAGGAAGGCCATAGGGGCAGGCGGTGGACCTTGAAGCCGCTCGCGTGGAGAGGAAGAAGGCGACTCCTGGAACGACAGCCTGCGCCTGCTGCCGCTGGAGCGAGAAAGCGCGACCCGCACGCGTGGGGAGGACGAAAGCGATGGCTTGGACGATGGCCCGCACGCCGGAGAGCTGAAGCGCGAGGCGCATGCGTGGGGAGGAGGAACGCGACGACAGGGTGGGCGGGTCGCGACTTCCGCGGCCATCCGCCCTCGATGAAAGGGAAGATGCGGAAGCGGCGGGGGCGACGAGAACGGGGGCGGCGGATAAGGCGGCCAGGCGGAGGACCGAGGTCGACGCGGATGGAGCGCGAAGAGTAGCATTGTTGGGCTACTGTTTTACTGTAGTTAATCAGGAGCCCTTGAGACGCAAATCGGACGGAACAAAACGCAGGAAGCACCTGTATGACCGTGCTGGCTCAGAATCTAAAGATTTGATACGATGATATGATATGAGACGATATGATGATGATTTGATATGGTATGGTACGATACGATACGATATGACATGACATGATGATGATATAGGTGGTGTTTATCCGGCAGTAAAGTTTTGGGATTCACATCAGATATTATATGGGTGTTGCACGGGATGTTTGGATACTCGTAAAAAAATAAATTACAGAATTTGTCAGTAAACCGCGAGACGGATTTATTAAGTCTAATTAATCCATCATTAACACATATATTACTGTAGCACTTTATTGTCAAATCATGGATTATTTAGGCTTAAAAGATTCGTCTCGCAAAGTAGTCGTAATCTGTGCAATTAGTTATTTTTTAAGTTTATATTTAATACTCTATACATGTGTCTAAACATTCGATGTGATAGAGGGTAAAGTTTTAGCGGAAAAACTAAACAAAGGGCATAATATAAATATAATAGTTCCAGTTAACTGCTACACTGTTCCTTTTTCTGGCACGACCTTTGCACAGCGTTTCCAGAAGAGAGAACTGTCTTATTAGAGCATGGCATATATGCTAATAGTGCAGACATTTTTAAGGAGGGAAAACTTGTTTAATATAAGAATAATTGATTAGTACTAGTTGAGAATAATTGACTGGCAGGTTGACTTCAAAATTCGGGAGTGTTAGTTTGACAAAAAAGCAGGACAGGTGGCAGCCATGATCCATGTGCTTCCATCAGCTTCATAAGACCCCAGGATACACTTCCGAGCTGAGTCAGCTCAACTATTCTTTATAGCAGAGTGATCTCGCAGCTCTGACTATTGTACGTCTTCTTCTTTTTTAATTCTGTAAGGGAGCTCTAACTATTGTTGCGGTACTATGTACGCTATAGGAGTATAAAATTTGTCTGGCGTCAACCGTGATTGAACTACGGAGGTAGTACGTTGTTTCTTTTAAAATATCAGGTTCATGTTCATTTTTCAGACAGAAAAAACTTTGTGAAACTTGAAATGCGACCCATGATGAATCATGGCAGTTCTGCGCAGCCCAGCCCAAACCAGATTGCTCGTTTCAGCTCCGGCGCAATTGACCACTAGCCCAGCCAATTGACCAACAAAGAAGCCCAGCCCAATCGATTGTAGTAAACTCTCCATACTGAATTGGAATTCAAGACGACGACCGGAGCGGAGCCCGGAAGCGTGTGGGAGATCGGCTTCGGCGGGGATGGCGGCCGGGGAGCGGAACGGCGAGGGGAGGCGGGCGCACGCGGCGATGGTGGACTCTCAACTCATCAACGCCGGGTACCACGTGGTCGCGAAGCTGGCGCTCAACGTCGGCGTCAACCGCGTCGTCTTCTGCGTCTTCCGCGACCTCCTCGCCCTCGCCGTCCTCGCGCCCCTCGCCGTCTTCCAACATCGCGGCTCGCACGCCAAGGCTCTGCCACCTGTTACCTGGAGGCTCCTGGTCTCCTTCTTCGTCCTCGGTCTCACGGGGTAAGTCCACTCACTCGGTTTGGCGCAACCGCGCAATGTTGAATCTGCAACCAGTGCTGCTGTCGTGGCTTGCAAATTTGCTCTTGACGGATCTATACATGTTTGGCCTGCAGCATCTTTGCCAACCAGCTGCTGTTTTTGCTTGGCCTCAGCTACACCAACCCCACCTACGCCGCCGCAATTCAGCCGTCCATTCCTGTTTTCACCTTCATCTTAGCCGTCATCATGGGGTCAGTCTCTCGCTCACTCATGTCAACGCACTCGAGTCTACTTCTGCTATGAGTTCAAAAACATTGTCTGTTTGCTTCAAAAAGAAATTGCGTGTTGCAGGACTGAATCTGTGAGCTTGGTCTCGATTGAGGGTCGCACCAAGATTGGTGGCACGGTAGTCTGTGTGCTCGGCGCTGTCCTCATGGTGCTATACAGGGGACCAGCGCTGTTGGTAGCGGCGAGCTCGAGCTATCAAGTCACGGTGCTAGTATGTCGCAGTCACAGACTGAACCAACCGGGCCGGTTGGGCTGCAAAAGTGGCATATTGGAGTGCTGTATTTGATAGGGAACTTTCTCTGTATGGCTATTTATTTCGCTTTGCAGGTACTTCTGTACTTGTCATTTGCTGGCTGTCAATCCACTTGTTTGCTTATGCATTTTAATGGTTTTTTTTTCTCTCTATCGATACTATTGTTTGCTTGAAAAAGGAAAGATTGACACGGTTGAAAGCACAAGTTGAGTAAGCCTTTGTAAGCTATTTCGACAAGGCATAAGAAATGTTGGCAACGTTATCTATTGATCAACATTCTACTCCCTGTTTCGATTGAGTGAGTCCTCGGATTTTTTGCAAATCTGAAATAAAAGCTAAGGATCTGTTAGATCCAAACTCCCCTACTCATACAGCCATTGTTCCTCGCATCTCCCCCCTGTCCTAGAAAGGACATGATGCGGGGCCAACTGGCCATCAGCCCATCACAACATTAAGAACTGGATTTTGTTTGAGTGTAAGAGAACAGCCAAAGATTCTTAGCCATGGGCTGAGCAAATTATAATCCACTGTAGTGACAAAGATTAGTCTATAAGGAGACAGTCTGTCCAACATCCTTCGATTAATATTACATTTATGTTGCAATCAGATGGAATTCAAGTTTAATATCTTGCTTTTCAGTGTACAGGAACTCATGCTATGATGTAAATGTGCTAGAATCCATTTTGCAGAATGTTTTATTATCTTTTATGATTATCCTTTTAATTGTTGTTGTAATACTGTTTCAGGCTCCCATTTTGGTGAAGTATCCTTCGAGTTTGTCACTCACAGCATACTCAATACTTTTTTGGAGCTATTCTGATGGTCATTTCTGGAACTTTTGCAAGAAATGACAAAAAGGACTGGTCTTTGACTCGATCAGAGCTTGCTGCTGTTGTATATGCTGTAAGATTTGCACCCAATTTACATGTACCTTATGAAGCTGTTATGAGCATTTTATAATTTTTATTGTCTGTATTCCTACATCATTACATGTCGTCATCAGTTAATATGAAGGTGTGCTTCTGATGCATTGCTTTGAATTGCATCCCATTGGGAGTTGCGACCATGAATCGGGTTCTGCATCAGCACCCATTAGTCGCACAATGAAGGAGGGCACTGGTTGCACTTTGCAGTAGTCTTTGTTGGATAAAATAAGGAAGTTAATATATATCATGTAGAGCAAATATTTTTCTACTCAAACTCAATTTCTTTCCGTTATTCCAGGGTGTTATCTCGTCGGCTCTTAATAATTGTTTATTAACATGGTCCAACAAACTTCTGGACCCTGCTATGGTTGCTCTGTACATCCCTCTTCAACCAGTGCTCTCTGCCTTTCTGTCGATGCTTTTGCTGGGAAGCCCAATTTACCTTGGAAGGTATATAGATAAGTTTGTTATGTGTTCTACTTTTTAATTACCTAACGGCTTTATATCTTCTCTAGCAATTCTTGGAAGGTATATAGATAGGTCTGTTAGCTGTTCTACTTTTTAGTTACCTAACCTTTTGCTTTATTCTCTAGCGATTAATGCGTTCCATTTCTTTTGATCAATTCTGAAGTATGTAATCTCCCGTGTCTATTTGCAGTATCATTGGTGGATTTCTGATCATCTCTGGTTTATATCTGGTCACCTGGGCCCGGCATAGAGAAAAGATGAGCGGCATTGGACCATCTTATACAAAATGTGAATTGGAACCCCTTGATAGTGATTCTAAAGAAGTAAATAGTGTAAACCTGGCCTCTAAGTCCTTCATGCCACTTTCTAGTTCGTGGAATGTACCATCTTAAGATAAATAGTTGATGGTCTGGTCTGAGTTGGCGGTACCCAGAACCCAGTATCTTCGTCCTTTGGGTACCTTTCTTGTTGTAAAATTTCTCGATAGATATGTGTAGAAAACTCATGCTTTTTTCTCCTCTAAAAAACGCAGAAAAGCTACGTGTCATTATTATATTATAGAAGAGGAAAAATTAGTGAAGAACCTTAAATACAACAACCAACTACCTCAGCTTAGGCCTTGTTTTGGTGCACTCGTATCCATCTCAATCCGTATATATTAGAGTAGGGTTAAAGATTAACTAATTTTCACCTCAATTTTACTCTAACACACGTAAATCAAGATGGATACGAGTGCCATGAAATAAGCTCATGTGGATGCATAAGCGCTTGTGATTGTTACAAAGAAAATCGACCATGACATTAAGAAAAACTAGAGAAACTACTACTCAAAGGGGTAGGGCAGTTAAAAGGAAAAGCCGTCAAGGCCCGACCAAGAGTCCAAGACTCGTAAATGCAGCTCATCTGCAGCAAGCTGCAACACCCCCGTTAAGCTTGGCGCCAAACCTTCACAAACATAACGGTTCCCATGCTTCCATTCCATAGAGTCCATGCTCCGAGGATGATCAGGGAGTTTGTCCTTCAATACCAGTCAGCCTGTCGACCCTATCACTCACCTTACACCACCCATCATCAAGGCAAGCTCTAGAAAAAACACACATCATCAAAGGCACCCTTCATCAGCAAGGGGCGAAGTCTCCTGAAGCCCAAAACGTATGAAGAGGTTAAAAGTAACAAGCAAAGAGATGATCAGGGAGTTTGCCCAAGCTTGTGGCAAAGTCCCGCCCAACGCGGTTCCTCTCACATACTATCTCGGTAGATAAGAGAGAAAAGGATGATATCAGCCCGTGTTTAGTTGCAAAAAAAAGTTCCAAAAAATGCTACAGTATCCATCACATCGAATCTTACGATACATGCATGGAGCATTAAATGTAGATAAAAAAAAACTAATTACACAGTTTGGTGAGAAAATTACGAGACGAACGTTTTGAGCCTAATTAGTCCATGATTGAACAATAATTACCAAATAAAAACGAAAGTGCTACAGTAGCCAAATTCCAACTTTCCCCTCAACTAAACAAGGGCTCAATGTGTCATTGTCTGTTGTGATGGATTTGAGGTTTTTTTTGCTAAAAATAAGGGAAGCACTCAAATCAAAAATAGGGGTCTTGATGTGAGGCCTCCTGCTGGAGATGTTCTAATCACGTAATAAGAGAGTTTGAGGATGTTGAATGGATGATACTTTAACTGACCGTCCGACCTGAGCCACCTAGTATCAACTATCAACAGACAAGGACCTTTTTTTTTTTTGGGGGGGGGGGTGCTAAGAACATGTCCAACAGTCTCTCTTTCCTAAACCCCAATAAGAAAAAACTGTTATTTTTGGAGATCTTGTACCTCCAACAGTTCCCCAAACCTAACCCTAATGAGAATTTTTTTTTTCCAGTCCCTCAAATCATAGCTTGCCACCCCTCAAATAAAGGGGAGATCTCTCCTCCTCCAATCCACTATTTTTCTCATTAGGTATTATATTTTCTTTCAAAATCCTAAAACACATTTTCGTATCTCCCCAACAACTAGATTTTAGGTTGGAGTTTTCTGTGTGGATGCTCTAATGGACCTGACTGTAGGTAAGGCATTAGACGAGGCGTGGACCCGAAAATTTTGAAAATAACAGCCCGCTTCCATATAGACTAGCCCATTGGACCAACGATGAAGAGCAACCCAACACGAGCCTAGCCCACCAGAAGTGAAGTGGACGGCAAGGGCAAGGGACGGCGACCGCCCACCGGAGGCGGAGGGAGATCGAGATCGGCGGGGGATGGCGGCGTGGGAACGTGACGGCGAGGGGAGGCAGGCGCACTTGACGATGGTGGGCGTGCAGCTCGTCTACGCTGGGTACCACGTCATCGCCAAGCAGGCGCTCAACGTTGGGGTCAACCGCGTCGTCTTCTGCGTCTTCCGGGACCTCCTCGCTCTCTCCGTCCTCGTGCCGCTCGCCTCCTTCCAGCACCGCGTCTCGCCCGCGCAGGCGCGTCCGCCGCCTCTCACCTGGCGGCTCGTCGGCTCATTCTTTCTTCTCGGGCTCACTGGGTAAGCCACCAGCTCACTCAAGCCGGCTACGACAAAGGGGATTCATCCGCAACGGAATTCCGTGCTCTGATGCTTCCTTTCTTTGGTTTGCAGCGTCTTTGGGAACCAGCTGCTGTTCTTGCTTGGCCTCAGCTACACCAACCCCACCTACGCGGCCGCCATTCAGCCGTCTATTCCTGCCTTCACCTTCATCCTGGCCCTCATCATGGGGTCAGTCTCTCAATCGCGATACTCCAAACTTCACACTCATACTTGCTTTTGAACTTAAAACACCCCGCGTGTTTCAGGACCGAAACGGTGAGCCTGGGCTCAAACGAAGGCAGAGCCAAGATAGGTGGCACAGTCGTTTGTGTGCTGGGAGCTGTTCTCATGGTGCTCTATAGAGGCCCAGCTGTGTTTGGTAGCAGCGAGCTTGAGCTTCTTGATGTTCATAGTCATGGTGTTATAGCTGACATGTCACAGCCTGAGCCTGACGGACCTGTAATATCTTTGTTCATGGCATTTGGGCTGGAAAAGTTTCACATTGGAGTACTTTGCTTGATAGGGAACTGTCTATGTATGGCTACTTATCTTGCTTTGCAGGTATTAGTGATTTTCAGGTTGCTGAGAAATATTGTTGTCTAACATTTGGGGTGCTTGATACTTTAAGTTTTAAATTCCAATCAAACGTCGATCCAGTGTGAGTTCTGCATGTCTCTTTGGGTTCTACCAGTAATTCAAGATGAAGAATTATATGGATCCTGTCTACGGAGACTCCGAGAGCAATATAGTTTGATATATGTTTCAGCCTTAATAGCTTGCTGGTAGCCTTCCCTTCTGGAGTCCTGGCACCCTTGCTGCCTTGCAGCTGTAACAATGATGAAAGTTTACCTTATTTCTTGTAGGAACACACCATACATGCTATGTTGCCAGCCTCTAATCAGAGATTCAGAGCATTCAATATTGAATTTAGCCCAAGATTTAGATAACAGTTAGATGATTTGTGGCAGAGAAAAATTTAACTTGCTGTAGTGATTTGAATTAGTCTTTATAAAAGGAGATAATCTATCTGGCATCATTGGATTAACATTATCTTATGCCACATACTTGCATTTGAGTTTGCCTTTCACTTTCTTAGTATGTTTATGTTTCACAGAAAGCTCACTTAACTATTATTCTAATCATGTCTGTGTCTTGATGTATCAGGCTCCAATTTTGGTGAAGTATCCTTCAAGTCTGTCACTGACTGCATACTCATACTTCTTTGGGGTGGTTTTAATGGTCATTTCAGGAGTTTTTGCAACAAACGATAAACACGATTGGAGTTTGACTCAATCTGAGTTTGCTGCTGTTGTATATGCTGTAAGTTTTCAATTATTTACTGTTCTTATGTCTTCCTAGTGTGTCATTTTGCCTGTAACATTCTTACATCAAATACATATACTGATGCAGTGGAGTAAGATCCCATATGTGTGTGACTATGAGGTTGAGATTCTGTATCTATGCTGTGTATGGAGGAGATTATGGCTGCACTTTGCACTAGTCTTGTAGACCATGAATTAAGTAGTTGATGCAATGATGCATGCCTTTTGCTACTCAAACTCCACATTTTCCCCCCTTATTCCAGGGAGTCATGGCATCTGCTCTTAATTATGTCCTACTGACATGGTCCAACAAAATATTGGGCCCTGCTATGGTGGCACTTTATAACCCTCTTCAGCCAGTGGTCTCTGCTCTATTGTCTATGATATTTCTGGGAAGCCCAATTTACCTTGGAAGGTAAGATGAATATATCATTTGTTCTGCGTTTTAATTCAATCACCTAGCCTTTCTTTCCATTTTTGTGTGAAGAGTACTGTTCCAGAGTGTCAGGTAAACAGATGTAGTACATAAATTTGTTGCATATTGATGTTCCACTCATATCCTAATGTCGGTAAACCTACTATTTTGTAACATGTTTCTCATCTCTTTTTATCCAAATTCTGATGTATAATCGGCATTATTGGTTTGCAGTATTATTGGAGGACTTCTAATCATCTCTGGTTTATACCTTGTGACCTGGGCACGGCACAGAGAAAAACTGGCTGGCATCGGAGTATCTTATGTAAAATGTGCATCGGAGTCACTCGATGGTCCTTCTCATGTTGCAAAGAATGTGCCCTTTATATCTCTTTCTAGGCTGTGGGATGTGCCACATGAGTCTTGAGAATTTGGAGGCATTTGATCTATACAACTTCGTTTAGGTACCCCCTCTTACTGGAACTATGGATACAGAAAACACATGAAAAAGAGTGAAATACCACAGAAAATGATCTTGATTTATCGTGTAAAATTGTACTCTACCCTTCTAGGAGCAGTTAGGTTAGTCACGCGAGAGATTTGACAGATGACAGGTTAGGTTTATGTTCGTTGGTTTTGTGAGACTTAACAACTCTATGATGTTGGATGGCCCTGACACCAAATGCAATGTGAGCTCCACTAGGGAACTGAAGAAAAACAGCATGTATTTTGTTAATTGCTACATCTACATACATGTATTCAAAGAGTGGTAACACCGTATATCTGTAAGTGCCTGCAGCTCGTATAATCATATTGTCCACAGTTTGCACCATGTTTCTATTAGACGCTGAATTCTGTAATCGCAGCTTTTGCCTTGCCCTCGCAAGTTTAACATGTGCTCCAGCTTCGTTCCAGCAATCCTCGCAAGTTTAACATGTGCTCCAGCTTCGTTCCAGCAATTGTCATTGGGCTGGTCTTGGCTGACGCCTTGTGTGTCGGGTTGTCGGGCCCTCGTCGGTTGAGTCGCTCTTGTCCCAACCCTTGCCCTGTTTCCGTGCACCGTGCACAGCCCACAATGTCGGTGGTGGACCCAGCGATATGAACATTGTACTATTCCAGTAAAATCTTTGTGATTTCATATCAATTCTACTCATGAACCCTTTTATGGGTTCTGCTACTTTGCAATACAATATAATTCGTATTCGTGAATGCTATGTGGCCTAGAGTTCTTACTACAATCTATTCAGTATGCAGCGGTGTGTGTGTGTGTTTCTCTTGGAATCCTGTGCTACGGATCCTCAGCAGGTAAACACTGGACGAATGCTTGGTGCTTTGATCATTGCTGCTGCGCCTGGAGCTCGGCCTGCGTGACAAAGATGCCGTGGAAGCCGTAGGGGACGCGCGCGGGCAGCTGCACCTCGGCGACGATGTCCAGCTGCGGCGACCTCGCGTCCATCACCACGAACTGGTTCTCGCCTGTGCGCTCGTTGTGGACGTAGCACACCAAGTAGCCGTCGTCCTCGTTGCCGTCCCCCTCCACGTCGTCGGGGACGAAGAACGGCTCCCCCGCGAAGCACCCGGGCCCAAAATCGCGCCGCGCCACCGTGCAGTCGCCCGTGCCGGCGCGGTCGAGGTCCAGCTTGGCCACCCCGGAGATCTTCGGCATGGGGTCGCCGATGCCGAGGTACCCGTACCGGTTTCGCCGGCCGAGGTAGCCCGGGTGGATCACGCCGAAGTCGAGGTTCCCCGCCGAGAGCGGGGTGCGCGACACGGCGCCCGTGCGCAGGTTGATGCGCACTTTCTCGACGCAGGAGTGCACGAGCTCCATGCGCTCCAGCGCGTGCTCCACGGACAGGACGTTGGGCGCCACCAGCACCAGCTCCTCGCCGTCGGCCTCCTCCCACGCGTTCAGCGAGTGCATTATGTTGAACCCCGGCACCTCGAACCACCGCATCTCCGACTCGTCCGTGGCGTACTTGGGGAGCACGCCGAGCCGGGGCACCTTGCCGGCGTCAGACCCAACGGGCGCGCCGCCCGCCACCATGCCCATGGGCTGCATGACGATCTGTATCTCCGGGAAGATGGCGTACCGCTCCGTGACGGCGAAGTCATGCAGGAACGACGGCTGCTGCACTGAGAAGATGGGCACGTCGGGGCCCTTGTTCCCGGCCGGGTCGAACCGGAAGTAGGTGACGAACGGCGGCACGGGGCCGTACCGGAACGCGAAGACCTCGCCGGTGACGGGGTCTTTCTTCGGGTGAGCTGTCATGCCCATGAAGAGACGGCCGCCGAAGTCGCACCGGCCGTGCGTGGTCACTTCGCCGGTGACCGGGTCGACGCGCACGGTGTACGGGAGATCCGACTCGCCAAGCGCGTAGAGGCGGCCGCCGAAGAAGGCGAGGCTGGTGTTGGCGAGCCCGAAGCCCTCGGCTGGGTTCATCTGCCCAGTGAGTACTCTGGCCGCCACGACAGCGCCGCGAGCCAGCCCGGCCACTCCGTGGAAGCCGGAGAAGACGTTCGGCATGACCGGCGCTCCCGCGTCACGCTCCACGAGGTACTTGTACGTCTGCACGTAGCGCGAGCACAGGACGGGGTCCGACGACGGCGACTCCGCCGTCGGGAGGAGGAGCGAGTGCAGCATCCCGTCGCCATCGAAGAGGTGATGCGGCCCACGCGGGAGGTGCTGCGGGTTGGGCCCGTTGCGGATGTAGGCCCCTCCGGCGAGGCAGCGCGGGATGGCGCCGCGCACGACGGGGCAGGGCGTCGGCGGCAGCTCGTCCACTGGCGCGAAGTTGGTCGACAGCACGTTCCGCGGGTCCACGGACGGTCGCAGCGCCGGCGGGTCGACGAACGTGTTGATCGCCTCCTCCAACGCGCTGCAGAACGCCATCGGCAGAGACGTGGCTGCCGGGGCAGGCCGGCGGCGAGGCTGAGGCCGAGCCTGAGCTTGGCTCGGCGCACTTGCAATTCTTGAAGTGTTAGCCTTGGCGGCCACGAGCTCTTCCAGCTCCTGTCGCCCGGTCTGCTTCTGAGCAGTGGACTGAACATTGTCAGTGGCCGGAGGGGAGGTGACAACGGTGGCAGTTGCGGCGGCCGACGGCGGCGGAGACGGGGCGCTCTTCTTCTTCCTGTTGCTGGAGTTCCGTGCAGCAGCAGAGGCGACAGGAGAGATGTAGTGAACCCTCCGGGACGATCTTGGAGCATGTGCACTCATGGAGAGGTTAGAGGTGATCAATGTTCTCTCCATTCTGCAACCTGTAGATCAATGTGTCTAGATTTGGATCAAAGCTTAGGTCAAGCAGGTGGTTGGGTTGCTGTCTAATTATTATGGAGCACCGCGACCAAATTTGCGTGCCAGAAGTGCTCCTGCCACTGGCATATATGTGGCTATATATAGGCCTGTACCTGAGGATCTAGGAAAGTAAGAAGATACTAATAAGTGGTGGCTGATCCTTGTCATTAAAAATACCCCTGCAATATATATTGAAACTCAGAGAGATTTTGGAGTCATACATTTTATGTTGAAAAGGGGCATGTGTAATGAAAAAATACAGAAATGCTCCTTCACAGTCGTCTGACGCTCGGTTTATCCGTTAGTCATCTTCCTCGCCCGTCTAATCCGCGCCCGCCCTCTCTCTCTCATCTATGGTGACTCCTCCCCGGCGGCCATGCCCGCGCCCCACCCTAGCGAGCTCCTCCCTGCGCCCCACCCGCATCCACACCCACCCCACCCCCTTCTTCCGCAGCTCCAACAAGCTTAGAAGAAGGGCTTGGGGGAGGCAGGTTGGCCAGGCGGTGGGGACAACGGCCGGGCGGTTTAGGGGCCCTGACGGCGGTGGAGGCGGCCGGGCCAGGGAGGGGCGGGGGAGCTCCATGGCCGCCACCGCCGTGTAAGGAGGGGGGAGGGGAAGATGGCGGCTGCCGCAGGCGTGCTAGGGTTGCATTGGAGCTCCGCCGCAGCGGCCGCGGAGCTCCGACGCAACCCTAGCGCGGCGCGGCGATGGGGGCGAGAACGAGGCAGAGAAAGGGCAGGGCGAGGACGAGCGCAACAATCATCTGGACTCGAGCGAGCGAGAGGAAGAAGAAAACATTGTATTCGTTAGATCTTAATCCAACAGTCCATGACGGTGACTGATGGTTAAGCATGGCATCAGGCACCTCAAATGGAGACATACTAAAAAAAAGCAAACAATCTAAAATATATCTCGATGCTTAACATAGAACGGGACCTAGTATTTACCAAGTATAAAACAAGCATTCGAAATAATTCTTAAATCCTAGAAATTACCATATTAATCGAAAAATAAAATAGAAGTGCAACTACACATATTGATAAATTAAAATTAACCACCATTACTACTACACAAAAACCCAAAATACACCAGGGGCCTGTATGGACTCTAGAGTTCAGCTAAATTAGAATATGACCTTTTCAGAATTACAATGTGCAAATCCAGCCCAATCTGCTGAAGCCAATTAAATCCGTCTAACTTTTCTTAGTGAAAAAAATTGAGACCGATTCAAGCATAAATAAGGCCCTCCACAGCGTGAGCTAAGAGTGAAGCTTGTAGAGGAGAGAGAGTGTATTTGAGGGTTACTCCACACGTTGAATGTAGTGATGTCTATTCTACAAATTTTGGGAGCCATACAAGCGCGGGCGCTTGATGAATTTTTTTTTCTTCAAAAAAACAGAGTATGGTTTTTGACAGTGAGAGAGAGAGCCAGAGGGAACAAATGGAGGATTGGTTTAGTTTTTCTATTGGTTGATGGGTCCACTAGTGATGACTACACATTGCAAGTTACGAGGAGTGGTGCTATATTTTGAGTGATGACGTCTAAAAATCTTTAGGCTTCACTTTCACACTGTAGAAGGTCGGCCTTGTTTCGATGGAAAGGAGTGAATAAGAAGACTTTGCTTATTTGGTAAATATTGTCCAATCATAGAACAACCAAGCTCAAAAGTGATTTGACGTCTAAAAAATCATTTAATGCTCCACTACAACACTAAAAATTAATGTGATGGAGAGAGAGTGAAAAAACTTGGAATTTTAAGGGTAACTAAACAAGGCCTAAGAAACTAGCCTGCGCACATCCTCGTACACACAACACATGAGGCCGTGCCGAATGCACCAAGCTGGACAACTACCTCAACTTCCACGAGGAGCTATTGCTCCATGTCACACCGAAACAGCAGCCTCGCAGAGCGTCAGAGGTTCCTCCAAAGGCACCATATGCTCCATCTGACAAAAGCCCAAGCACTAACTTGAGCGCCCGTTGGAGACTTCACTGTTCTCTTGAAGAGCAGAACGAGGAGGAGGAAAGCTGCACTGTGGACAGTGGTGGGGCTAGAAAAAACTCTGAAAAAGTACTGCCTCCTTTGGGAGATTGATAGCATGCATTCCGTCTCAACTCGGTTCCATCTACGTGGACTCTAAGGCACACGATTACTAGTGCAAAAGCGGACACACACGCTTCTCTGTGCATCATCCCCGCGTCTTTTCTGAATTTCTGCCCTCGTAGCTGGTGCTTGCTTGCTGTTTCCATGCTATGTCTGCCCATATTGGACACACCGCGACACCAAGAAAAGGTCACATGGACCTAACTCCTATATTGCTTAACATATATTTGGATGTGTCCAATAACGCATGATGAGTCTAATGAAGTTGATCAAGTAGACTGTAGTCGATGCAGACCCAGATAGATTGTACATTTCCATAAACGACCATATAAGCTTAGGCACGTTCCTTTTGTTCGATCTACTGTCAAGGTTCTAGAGTGGTTATATCTTGGGAATAGCATATGTGCACCTCTGTGAATTTCCAGTCATGCATCAGCATTTATCCAAACAATCTCATCGTTTTTCCCCCAAATGCCAACTTTATTATTTTGGATGTGGATTGTGGGCCCCCCTGTCCATGTCGACTCTCTGCTTCCGCTCCAACACGGTAGCCTCCTCGTCCCAAGCCACCACTCATCGCCGGCCACTGATAATCCTTGTTTCGTCGCCATCGTCGTCGTCCTCCTCCTCCTCCCGTTCCCCTCCATGGCCCTACCATCTCTCGATCAGATAAGCACAAGACTGTCCAACTATTGATTTCCACCTTGACACTGAACTCTTGCTTGCATTGCCTCACTAACCTCTCTATAAATGTTTCCACGATTGCCTCACTAACCTCTCTATAAATGTTTCCACGGATACGAGTCAGAGTTTAACTGTCCACAGAAAAATATATCAAGTATCCTCACAAATTTTCACAGAAAAGGTATCCGTTAACATGTCTCGTTTGGCACAGCTCAGCTTCACCAATAAAGCTTTTTTTTTTAAAAAACAATTTCATGAGCAACTTTATAGGTGAAGCTGAGCTATTTTGGAGAAACTGTTTGACAAAACAGCTTCACCAACAACTTCATACATGGATGAGAGAGAGAAATGAGGAAAAAAATTGGGATAAGCTACTTTTTGCAGCTTCATCTCAACTCATGTCTTTGTTTGAAAAGGAGAAATGAAGTTGTTTTATAAATAAGTGTTTGAAAAAAAAATGTTGTGAGCTGTGCTAAACAGGCCATAGGAGTACAACTCCCTCCGTCCAGAAAAGAATGTAATTATGGGAAACGTGCCGGTCAAACTAGCTCAACTTTGATCAAGTTTATAGAAAATAATATTAGCATTTATATCTCCAAACAAAATTTATTATGAAAATATATTCTATGGGCATGTTCGCTTGTCTGAATTCTAGAGGAATCTGGATGATTTGGAGGAATGCTGGAAGAATTTGTGAGAGAAAAATACTGTTCCGGATGAAAAAAATAAGCGGATCAAGCAGGTTTAAGGGCACGCGAATGGGGCCTATAACTAGTCTAATGATACTTATTTTGTTTAATTAGTATTAGCACTTTTTATATAATTTTAGTTGAAGTTTGAATTGTTTGACTCTGGGGACGTGATAATTAAGGCCTGTTTGGTTCCTTCTCCTCCTCCTAAAATTCTTGTCACATCGAATGTTTGACACATGCATGGAGTATTAAATATAGACTAATTACGAAACTAATTGCACAACCTGCGACTAATTTGCGAGACGAATCTTTTAAGCCTAATTAGTCCATAATTTGACAACATGGTGCTAAAGTAAATATGTGCTAATGATAGATTAATTAGACTTAAAAAATTCGTCTCGAAAATTAGCCTCCATCTATGTAATTGGTTTTATAATTAATTTATATTTAATTCTCCTTATTAACCTCTAAATATTTGATGTGATATAAATTTTAGAAGCGATTAAAGAAACAAACACCTCCTTATATTCTTATGTGGATATCAAGCTATCAGCTCAGCGTCCCCACACTACGCTCAGATTTTTGTTCGTAAGAATCATAGCCGATGAATGCGTGATATACGGGAAGATTCCCAGGATACAGATAGCAGCAATCCAAGAAGCAGGAACCCACATCACCACATGACATGACACCACCAACCAAACAAACCTGATGGTACGCAACAGAGTATCTGTCGCAAACTATTGGTTCCCACACAAATAAATAATGCAGTGTGCTGTGCACAGTGGAACGACACCGGAGGACCACAGGTGACAAAGTGAAGAAGGCTCTGCACAGGCAAAAGCCGCAAAACGCAGGGGGATGGTGTGATTGCAACGGGGACGCGACGGGTGGAGAGCACGACCACGGCCGGGGGTCGCCGTCGCCGTCGCCTCCAATTGCCATCTCCATCCCGTGAGATTTACGAGCCAGTGCGTGGATGAAGAAACGGATAACTATTAACTAGCTCCGCCCGTGCTCCGATCGCCCTTGCTTCCACTCCACCCAATCCGAGAGAAGATGTCGCCATTCAGAGCTGCCATTTACGCGCACAAATGGAAAGGCCTCTCGGTTAATTCGTGGCCGCGGTACAAGAATCGGCACGAGCCACGGCCAGAGGGCATCATACAGTTGATGAGACAGCAACGGCGGTGACGGCGATGCGCGACAATATCTGTGATCGGTTGGTGGATGGGCGATCGGGGTCAGCTGCGCTCCATGAGCACCGCTCGTTTGCGAGTCTAAAAAATCGTCGTTGCTCCACGCCTTGTTCACAATAATCTGCAGGTTCTAGTTTACCAGTCTCGCTTACGGACGCTGCATCTCCTGCAAATATTCTGAGCTCCACGACTATACACCGGTGGAGCCCCGGATCGGGTCAAGATATTATTGGTGAACTGTGATGTGAGTGATAGAGCCGGTCAGAAAGCCTCG